GGACAGTGGTAGGTGTCACTTTGTGGGTGGAGTGGTTGTGTACAGAACGATTGGGTTGGCAACATTATGTGCTTTTTATCACATTTTTCAGTCGGTCGTGAAAAATCAAGCTGATATCGTCGTAAATGTAGATCATTTTAGGGACGTCGTATGCTGCTGGTTTTTACACCGATGTCCAACTGAACTTCTTAATAAAACTGCCAGGGTAACCCTTCTCGACTAGAATTCATTGGAGTTGGTTTAGCTCCGCTTGGATGCTACCCTTGGTGCAAGCATGGCGTGTTCGATGGAAGTGTTTTTATTACACCTCCCTTTTAGTTGAGTAGTAAGAAACTACGAAACTGTAGAAATTCGCCCGTCCATGTACTCTTGCGGTATACGGTCCTGCGTCTCGTTCCGTCTTGCCTCCTATTCATTTGAATGTGTGTGTGCAAAAGAACTGTCAGTCACACTATCACTGTTTCGGCAGTGGTAAAAGTGTGATGATTCGTCCCGGTCGTATTCTTGTAATGTTGTAATGTTGAACAATGCAAACTGTAATTCTCTACCGTATTGTTGTACCAGTTGAGATGCAGCAACGTCTGCGTTGGCATGCAATCATGCAGCCTAGCCTCCTTGCTGTACTCTCTCTGCAAATTTATCTCAGGAAATAAATGTTTCAGTTATACATTGATCGTTTTTTAACGTGATACTTTGTCCCTTATTTATTCAGTCAGTTTTGTTGTATTCAAATTTGAATTTATTTTATTTCATCTCTATGGAAGTCGATTTTTGAACAATGTCACCTAAAAAACCACACTTTATTCACAGCAAAATAACCTGGCCACTGATGTGGTGCAGAGTCAAGAACTAATCGATTCCCGCTTGGAAAACCTTCAGAACGAGGTCAGACAGCTTCGATTTGAGAAAACTCGCTTAGAAGACATTCTAACTAGTACACGGTCACAGTTGTACCAGACCAGAACAGAGCTGGCCACAATGCGTCAAACGTTCAATGAGAAATCCCGTGAACTGGACAAGTAGGTTCATAGTGGACTGTTCCATAAACTTTATTGATCGTGTTTGAAAAAAAAGAACGGGGTAAGCATAGGTGTGAAATATTGCTGTAGTCCCAATTGATTGATCAATTGATCCATCCTATGTTGGTGTCAATGAAGTTCTAATGGCTGGGATTATTGTGCCATGTTCATAATGGAAATAAAATACTTAAAACCGATAGTATTTCTATTTATTTACCATTACCAACTTCATTAACCTTCAGTACAGTTCCCTAATACGGCTGCGTTCTTCCTTTGGAATAATTCTGATTGACTGTGAATCCTGTGTGATCCCGGTGATTGCCTTACGCTCTTTACTGCGAAGTGTAACACTCCGTATAATAGCCGTTTCTAATCACCTTGGCCCCAAATGATCACTTCTGAACTACATCTGCATGTAAACGCCAGTCATAAAGTGTTTCGAATAATTTAACTTCTAATTTTCCCAATAGAAGTGTTCTTACTAATGATGCTAATCTCTTATCCGGGATTTTAGAGAGACTTTTATTGTTTTTAAGCTGCACACATGAGTCTCATTTCATGCCGATCAAGGCTGAAAAAACAAAACCATCGAGGTAATTATGAAACATTGTATTGGTTTTACAGAACTTCTGCAAGCTTTTCCTAAAAAAAGGTGGGATCTCGATCACAGAGGAAAATTTAACTAGAGAGGAGTTGAGATCGAAAATGGATAAGCTGAACAAGTGTAGGTCGCGTGCAAACTCTAAAACTAGTACGCCAAACATTGTCCACCGCGCTCCTCCAGACCCATGTGAGCCCCATACACAGAATGGGGCAGTTTCTGGACACGTTAATTTTTGGAGAGAGTGACGGGAATTTGAAGGATACAGTGGTATGTGATTGACATTTATAAAGATAAGCATACTATCCTTGAGAAGAGTTATCAAGGTCCAGATAGGATTCATAATCAGCTAGAAGATTACCAGGTGCATAGGAAAAGTTTTCTATGATTTATTCCTTTGAAATAAAAGCCAAAGTGCCAAGTGGTTCTGTTTTGCCTGTTTAGCTTGAATAATAGGTGTACTGCTTACTATTTAAAGACCACAATGCAGTGATACTTCGTCTCATTTTATCTCATTTATACAATATGCTGTAAGTAATTGGAAACGTTTAACCACTTATTATATTTGGAAAGATCACATTTGAGTCAGGAAAACGACAATACATGTTTATTCCTGTTCAAATAACGAAAGATATCATCGGTAATAATCAACACTATTTTATCACTGGTCACTGAAGATTAATTCGGTAGTTGATCAATTTCTGTAACATAATACTCTCTGCGCAAAGAATCGTGTGTTTCGGGTGTATGTTAATCCAATATAAGGGTAGAATTCACACTTTTCTTGTCGTGTATCAATCGTCGACAAACATATCGATCGGTTCAAAATCAGCATGGATTGTTTTTCATGAATGTTACGTTTATTTCGTAACGAGCATCACCCTTACGGATGAGAGAGCAAACGGTATTCCTAAAGTCATCCGAGTTACTGACGTTGAACGGATAACCGAATCTTTGATGAACACCTAATCTGATAAAGTTCGAGGTAAAAGACTGAGATGTACACAAATTGATCCGATTTGAGAAGTTTCCAGTAACATGACCGATAGTATGCGTTCTGTAGACGTAATTTTACGAGAACGTGAAACAATAGGTAGAGTGCTGAGGCGTGAGAATGACAGGTGGGCAGAGCTTCATGTGGAACAGGAAGGGTTTGTGGTTGAAGCGGATTGTCAGTGCACGTCTTTCATGCCCGGGTTGTCGACCTTGCTCGATTTTTTTGAGATGTCTCTGAATAACATGTAGGTTACACACACACCAGGTAAAAGACAGTGCGTAGTAAACAAGTATGAATGAAAATATTCTTCAGAAAGTGAGCAGAACCGGTAGTGGGAAATGAATGAGAGCAGAGCAAATGGGTTACAAAACTACAATTGAAATGAAACTTTGATTCTCATTCTTAGTCCTCGGTAGTCAAAAGATAACTCTCAAATTTTCTTTGGAAGGTTGTAAATCTCAGATCAACCTGTTAATGTTTTGCATTGATGGTAACGGTTTCCAGATTCGAAAGATAGATGAACTGTAGAACAGAGACAAAGGTAAACAGTAAGGTCAGGAAAGTGTCTTATACAAATACGGTAAATATGACTGTATACTTGGGGAAATGGTTACCGAAACCTCGACATAATGAAAGTTATTAAATAAGTAAAATTTAACCGCTTAAGTCAATGATGATTCTTTCTGTTGGGAACGTAGTTTCACATAAGACTTTGCGTCCAGGATAAACTTGAAAATTAAGGGCAGAACCGGTTGAAATCTTGCCTGCTTAACTGCACGTCCATCAAATGAGTGTTAATTTGACACGCCAGTTCAAATAAATCAAAAACATTATTACATATCTTCTGTTTGCGCAGGGTTCCATCATTTGGTGTCTCACCCTCACTCCGTAGAATATAAAAGTTCTGGAATTTTCGGCTGCTCTTTCAAAGGACATTGAAGCATAGCCCGATCAGAACATCTTTAATAACGATTGATGAAAAATTGAACTTGAAATGTTTGACATTTATGTGTTACTCTTTTTCTTTTCCAACCAAATCGTAGCCACATTGCAACGTTTGTCGAGGTCGTGAAAGAAAATGCCAATTTGAAACGCCAGTTATGCTTGCTACAGTAAGTTGAATTGAAGCAACTACCAGGTTGGACTGTTCCATATCATCGTGGTTGTGCGTTTCTCTTCAGCCTCGTTACTCCTTGCACGCCACAGCGGTTCACGGGTGGAGCCATTTTAGCAGAACTCAATAGCTTCATTTGTGAATCTCTATTGAAAGATTTATTTGTGTTCAACGCATTGTCCCGTTCTTACTGCAGTGAACGCCTTAGGCAGATAATCGATCCAAATTGTTTGAAGTGATGCGTTCTGTGTTCCAGTAGAGAACATTTACGGTACAGTTGGCTTGAAATTAGCTACGGTCACGGAGAACAGATATGTTTAGTGAATTCCGGATGCACATACGGAACTGCTATCACCCCCGTTCTGGTCGATTTTATTCGTTATCTCCTCCTGGGCTGATTCTCTGCAAAACAAAAGCATAAATCCAAATATAATACGGAGAATAAATTATTAATTTTTCACAATGATAAGTGATGCTGTAGCCACGTACCATGGGCATGGGGAGGCCTTTCTTTAGTCATTAAAATAGGGAGAGGAACATTAAAATCCAGGCGAATGACATTCCACCTGCATAAATGGTCTGAAGATTCGTATATCGCAGCTATTTTGAAATTCAGAGAATATGCTTCGGAAATTTTTTCCTCTGTTGAAACTGATACGCGATCCGATGTATCTTGTGTTTCCGTACGCAGTGTAACCCGTCACCAGTTTTAAAGAAATGATTTACCTTTATGAACGCTTTATGGAAATTGAAGTGAAGATTAAAGCTGTCAAATAATGATCAGTTAAGTTTACCCTGGTCAGCTGATAATTGGTTTCCATTTTGTTTCCATTTAAAATATTGTTTCTAAAATGTTTACAGTAACCAGCTTGTTAATAGGCACCATTCTTGATTGTTTTGATGGTTTGATTCTTTCTTGATGGTTTTGTTAGTGGGTTTCACTCCTTGGGAGATCGCTGATTCCCCATTAGTTCATGCATTTACATGCGATGGAAATGGAACGCCTACTTACCTGTCAATACTGCCAATAGCTTCAATTTTTACACTCTGTTGGCATCTCATACTAGTGAGGCGATATAGATATAAGGTAATGCATATGGAAAAAACTTGAACGTAGAAGAGGACGGATACCTACTATTTGTTAGACCGCGATCATCATAGACCAGGAGCCACTCTGCGGAAGCTGTGCCGAAGTAGTAGGTGAATTTCCCGTTTAATTTGCCCAAGATTACAGCCTGGTGTTTTCTAAAACCTCAACAGTTTGGTTGGCTAGCAAACTAGTAAAAGCCTCTAGTGGTGACTGTAGCGTCACCGCATCAACACGCAGAGTATACGCCGTACAAAGAGCGTGGATGGTCTGTGCGTGTGCGCGCGGGTTCATGCGGGAGCTTGAACTCCAGCAACACATTTCACTTTTGCAATTCTTTTATCCGCAACGATAAAACAGGTGTGATACTCCTGCCAATTTGTTTTAATCCTCCCAAACGTAAATGCCTTTCAGATTATAATCGATTTATTTCCCTTTACTGTATGAGTACATGATCTCACCTGATTGAAGCTCATGTGATTTTCAAGCACCGGTAACCACAGGTGGTTTTATTTACAGAGAGGTGAATCGAGAACTGTGCGACGCAAACGATGGATTGTGTGCGGTTCTGGAGAGCAGTGGCGAAGAGGTGACCAATTGCTCCAATCTACGCGAGGCAAACACGGCCTGTGCCTTGATTTTCTCCAATTTTCGTCAACTGCTAACAGAATATCAAAGCCCACTGCCGATGGAGCACGCACATCACTTGATCTCTGAGGAAATGATCGAATCTGCAGCAAAAGTGAGACGAAGTAACTCGGTACCGTGCCCGGAGAGCAGACTGCAGAATCAAGTGAACATTAGTGAACAGCCAGTATTGATGAAATCACCACCTCCTTTCGTTCGATCCAAACGTCGTGTCCCGGTTTCGTTGACCAGCAAACAACAACAGCCGAAGAGCCTGGACTGTTCAAGTTTGTTACCCGAAACGGGACTGGAATCACTTCACGAAGGTGAGTACTCGACTAGCCAGCAGACGACACCACAACTGAATTTTAATTCAGATTGCACTTAAACCTTTTCTAAGTTTATTTTTATCAATGGATCGATACGTGCAGTTCCTCACATGAGGCATTTAGTATAGGCAACGTTCCTCATAAATTAACTCTCGGGGCTTCCATAGCCTATTTAATGGGACTGGAATTTCCCCATCAAGTTGAGTTGACTCCATTCAGCGGAAAGTGCATCGAAAAGCCTCATGGAACGGACAGTGCACAACCTTCTACATCTGCTCAGAAGACGCATTAGAAACAGATTTAGTAGTTGTGCGAAAGATGCTGTTAGAAAATGGTTACCCGGAAACGTTCATTCATCACAACCGGTCTGAAAGAACAAAACAGGAGCCTAAAGCTAGAGCTGAGAAAAAGGTTTTGATCATCAAACTTCCGTTCAAAGGATATTCAGTAGTTAAAATGGTTACTAGAATCTCGAGTGGCGCAATTAAAGCGACGTTCAATACTACCAAACTCAGATGCGTGTTTTCGGCATCACCCGTCGGAACAAGGATAAGTTGCCTATGTTGACCTCGTCAATGCTCATCTACCAATTCAATTGCACCTGTGGTGCCACTTACCTAGGTCGTACGACAAGGAAGCTATCTAAATGCATCATGGAATATCAACCCATGTGACTTAGACACGGATGAATCGGAGTTATCTTCAGTTCGATAGTTGCACATTTGGTTGAAACGAGACATAGGGTTAATGCTAATTCGTCTTTCGCCATCATGTATTACAACACAATTCAAATGCTGTTCGAATTAAAACTCATGCAACTGCCAGAGTTGTGCTCAAAAAACACTTGCTCAGGCACTTAAACTTCAGTGGCCCAAAACGGACAACATGACGCATGAGCGTTAATTTGGCCCAAATCAATTATCAACGCTTACGTAACCCGTTCTTATCTGAACAAGACGACTGGAGACAAACGAGTCCCTACCCCATCCCTATGGTATATAATTACTTGACCTCGACTGTTTGACCCAAGCACAATACCTTCCCGCTATTTACTTGCATAAATGTGATCGTAATGGCTTGAGCAGGAACTCATTGAAAACGTCCTGATATAAATAAGAGCTTCATGTGGAGTTTTCCGTTTTACTTGTGTTCGATAAAGATGACCTCACGTGCTCTTGAACAGATTTGTTTCTGAATTTATTAGCCGTCTTTTAGGGTGAAACCCGAACTAACAGGAATGCGTCCAGATGATAATTCTGAAAGATGATTGAACTACAATAAAACATGTGACCTTGATGGAAAATATATCATATATTTCGAGATCAGCATCAAAATCCGCCTTTGGATACACTTACAAGGTGGTGCAGTTTGTGCGTCATTCGGAAATTTTGCCGATCGATTTGGGTAGCTGGTCAGAGAAAACGAAATTAAGTATTTTTAAATACTGCATCTATTTTGCCTATGGCATCAAAACCGAACGACAACCTGACAGGAGATGATGGCATTCCATTTCATCTCCTCAATCGCTGACGTCAGACACACAGGTATACGTAAAAAATTAAATTAAATGTCTTTTTACTTCCGCTTTCTACTTACTGAATATACAATTGTACAGTCAACTTTCAGAAAGGGAGTCTGCGGCCATACAAAGGCTGCCTGGGGAAAATACAGACATAAGGAAGACGGGCGGCGGTGGAGCGGTTTGAACCCGGGACATTCGGATCACCAGTTGGTGACCTAACGCCACTTGGCCACCACCGCCCACATTGCTAAATCCTAGGAAACAAACGAGTACAGAATGACTAGGGCTAGTAAAAATAAAACCAAGTGGTCAACTGCGCAAGGCAAGCAAATTAATTACGTCAATGAGACTTGGGTGCAAAAAACAAGATGATGTAATCTGTTTAATAACGAGTCAGTAAGTGCTAAAACGTTTGCATTGTGGTTACGTAATAAGGCTTTCAAAAGATGGAAACGGGATCATGAGGTGTTTTGCAGTGAATGACCTACAGTTTATTTTGGTCGTCTGACTATTGAGCGTGGGTTGATCAATTGACTTCACCAACCACTTTAGAAAGTGTTTGGTCATTTGTTATAATAATTGACTAGTGATGCCTCACAGCAACTACAAGTGAACTAGTATACAATGTCAGACAGAACTAAGTTAATATCGATCTCGATGAATCCATCTGGGTAACCATTTTATTAGGAACTCCTCTTCATCTTGCAGTGTTTCTGGGTAACGCATTTTCCTGGCTCAGTGGAACAGAGATTTTGCAAATCTGCTTTTTTTAGTAACAGATGAGAAACGAGGTAACTGTGGATCCTAACCGCTTCTTACTGTTTTTCGCTGAACAGAACGTTATAATATGCCATCTAAACGCCTAGTTCTTCTAATATTATGCTAAGAAATCATAGGGTTCACCTTCATGCAATACGAAAAGATGTGGATGGACGGAGTTGAATATTTTCAAAAGGGAGTCAAAATGTACTCGCTCCGTAAGAACAAAAATGTCGGCCACACGATGTTTGTCCTAGGTGAACTGAGAGATATTATAGGCAGGCTTTTTATTCAAGCGTTCTACAAAATACATCGGCTGGAATTGATCCCAATCGACTGCCCCGTGGTTACACTATCAATCTGTTTGTATGTGGCTCCTGCGCAATTCAAAGCGAATGTTTTCAATACACAAAAATATTAGTTCTCTTGAGTATTCAGGACGAATAACAAAGGAAAATTACCCGGGAAAAAAATAATCACACGAAAACTTGACATTTCAAGGAACATTTGCCGTCAGTGACAAAGTAATCTATATCTGGTGCGTATATTTTTTCAACCGATTTTGTCATATTTTCCAAACACCTGGAGATTTCCAAATAGTTGTTTTTAAACGAGATGTTACAGATTTATGGATGGTATTTAGAATGTTCACCAAACTTTGATCGAGTTTGCGAGTTTGTTTGCAACGCAAAACTCTTAGTGTGAGAAGCTATGAATCAGGTTACATCATTCCATTTAGTGCACCCAATCCGCATTGATGCAATGAGTTCACCTGCCGCGGAGTTGACCTCGTGTATTTTTACTTTTAATAGCCCCTATCCATCTATGCATGTTTGATCAATAAGATTTACCAACCCAATGTGCTATACGCATATGCGCCTGTTCGTTTTACGTCAGCAATTGACGAGATTTGGAGAAATGTTAACATCTCGCGACGCGGTGTATTCTCTCTCGGTCTTGATGGGAAATTTAGTATATAGTTTCAACTGGAAAAGTATTTCATTGTCTAAGTTTATTCGTTTATTTAGAGTATTCTAGTGGTCGATCTGTTCATTTTACCAATTTTTCGTAAACTCTTAAATTGAGCAATCCATTGCCGATGTACAAATAAAAGAATGAGGTAGAAAGCTTCACAAGGGTTGCGGATTTTGACGCTGAGGAAGGGACACTGGTACTCTAGTCGAAATTACTGCCTCGGTTATGTAATTGAGGTCCCATGAGGTAAAAGTTGGGTCACCACGTTAGCAGTGGACACCATGGATAGTGAGGGTTATGCAGCATTTGATAAATCAAAATCAAGTGTCTGTAAAACATTTTCGGTAGTGAAAGGAATGTGATATTAATAATTACACACTCCCAAAACGGGTATCAGAACAATCCATCGTCCACTGTTCAAGGTCTTCAGATCATATTGTGGTCAAACGTTCCGGGACTAAACCGCGTACTCCACGTGTCATTGAATGTACGCTGAAAACGGAAGTGAGAACCACAACTATGTATACGCTCAAGAAGCCGACAGGCTTCAGGGATGCAAATAGTGTCATGAAACAGCAAACGGAAAATCTTGGGTTTTTTAAATCATTTGCCACAGTGTGCCTGGAACCCATATCTACAGTGTGATCATGGGATGCTGTGACGTTCACAAAGGATAGCCACTAAATAAAGTCAGAACGCTGGCATCAATCTTTTGTCGTCGGACTGTGCATCACTTGGAACCTCCTTCCATCTCCATTGTCTGTGCAACAAATATTGAATCCTTCAGGCGAAGAATCAATGAAACTTTGGTACACCTCACGTTCCAACACTACTAAAAATACAAAGCACTCGAAGACTAAATCATGTGTTATCTCAATGCAATACATAAAGTTTCTCAGCTTTTACCGAGAAATGATTAAATTTTGTAAATACCTTGCGAGGATAACAGAAGCAGGAGCTTGTAATAACTTCCATAAAAAAATTAAACTTTGACAGTTGTTAAATATAAAATCCGTAGTGATATATCTTCTTGTAACGATACATTGAATTCTGTGGCGTTCTGGAAAGGCTAACAACATTTTCGTCTGCATCATTGCATTCTAAATAAGATCAATCATTATAAAGGTAAGGAAATCCCTGTAAAAGCTCACTAGCAAGATCGATGCGAATAGATAATGAGTCAGAAAGGTGAACTATCTCTAGTCTGAGAAACCTTTTGGTTGAAGCAATAGCGATTGCAAGTCCTAATTCATTAGCATACAATGGTTCACCTGATGGAATGCTTATAAATTTACCAGATAAACTGAATTCCCCTTGTCCCCTTCAGCCACTTTGTACTTCAAATACTTGATTTCGTTTATGTGGCAAAGTTCCTTTGGTACAGAGAAATTCGAGCGTGAATTGAACAGCCTGGAAGCACTGTACACCTACTTCCAACTGTTTGGTTCTCAACGTGTATTTGCAATAACTCTTCAAATAAGTGCCCGTTCGTTGATGAAATTTCAGGTTTACAGAATTGCCCGGCCCGTTCGAGTACCAACAACGACGACTTCATTGACATAAACCAATTCACTGAATTCGGCACCCTTTACCGTTTACTAATAAAAACGCTCGTTGTAATTGATAGATTTGTGAGAGATACTCGCCTTATGGTATCAATATGTGCATACATCACTGGAAAAAGTATACTTATCTCACAAATATCACTCATTGCACTGTGAAAATAAAACAACAATAACAA